TCAAATCTGGATCAGTCTGTATCAGATCCGTTGCAGCCCCTTTTTAAGAGATTTGGGTATGGAGGAAAATAGAGGGTTGTGTTTTCTGACACTTGGTGAGTTCCCTGGAACACCGGGGACACATACTCATGTAGACAAGACGTACAAAAGTGCATTTTGCATGATAGGTCACCTTTAAGTGTGAATCTATACTTCTACTGGTTTTCTCTTTCTTTGCTTCATTTGTTCTGTTTCTAATTCAGCAGGTGAACCTATATGTTCATAAAATAGTGTGTGTGATCTTAACTGTGTGTAATCAAACGGAGCATTTTCTGCTCAGGTTGTATTTCTGCTTTTTTAAACTGTAGTAGGCCTACTGTATGTGCTCGTGTGTTTCAGTGTTGGTGTCTAGGCCGAATATGCTTCATGAAAGGCAGCTTTTCCTATAGATAACATCTCTGAGCAGAGGACACATTTTTTATCCTAAATATCTGGGTGCCATCGTTTCTAAGGTAGCTTTATTCTGTTGTCTTACATTATACACCAAACAACGTCCTATTGTTTTGTATTTACTTGCATTGCATTTGATATTGAGGCTATCCTAAAGTAACGCTGAGTTATCAGGTTACATTACTTTCATATTTCGATACTCAGAATAGGTTACTTCATACATTCTTTTAAAAGTAACTATTAATTGTAATTAAACTGAAAGCACCAGCTCCATGTCGTAGGGACTGCAGCTGTTGGCCCTGATGAACTAATTCAATCTCTCCTCCCTCACGGCCCCCACTAACTTAAACATGGCGCTCTGATTGATTGCCTGAAATCACGCTGGAATTATTGACCTCCAGTGAAGTCATTTCCAGCTTTTGCACAAAGAAACTAGTACACAGATGCAGCGTATAATGTTGTGTTAAAGCAAAGTGTGCCTCGCGCCAACAGGATCTGAGCATGAGGGCTTTTTCCTTTTTCAGCGAGTCAGGCTGCTGAAAAACCTTTTTCGAGATTTCTTTTTTCAGTAAGACATCATCATCTGGAAACACTTATTCTGTGATTTACAAAGGCCCCCTATCGGATTTCCCCCAGCACAAAAGAGCAGACAGCAGGAGAAACTTAGACAATTCAAACCATTACAGGAAGATTGATCCGAGCAAACTGCACTCTCAGTCTTTTTTCAGTATCAAGTTTGAATGTGTCTTTGACGTAAGGAAAAACATGACATATAGAATAAATGTGCCCTATGAAACAGAGCTTAGAAAACAGTTTATGTGCTTAATATTTTCAGTGCTCTATCTGTCTTTTATCCATCCACTGTGAGCTTTTACCTCACATCTTGCAAGCTAACTCCACAGAAACAGCACCGCTCCACCATTGACCCACTTTACTGTAAATATGCCTTCAAGACACAACGTCTGGCTTCAATTACCCCACCCAGATTTGGCATACAACATCACAGGCCTCTATAAAATTATCATGGCGGTTGTAGATGTGGCTTAATACACACTGCCTTGTGTTACTTGATATGTTCTCTTTGATCTTTTCAATTGGTTAGGACAGAACCTTCTCATCTGTGTGAATTTGAAGAGCCACTTTCTAGTCCCTTCGGTCGGTGCCAGTTTATGTGCAGGGACATGAAAAGATGGGGAGTCAAACAGCTAAATTTAACTTTCTCTTTCAGGTCGGAGGTGTCAAAACTACAACTCCCAGGATGCACCAGGGCAGATCTGAGTGTTGGTGAAAGGCAGAACCAGAGATGTTGTTCGGACTCTCAACACGACCGATGTTCCCCGACAGGAAGAGCTGTGACGACCCCGGATAAAAGTAAGACATGTTTACCATCAGAGGTGGGAAGTAGTGGAGAACAAATACTTTGTTACTGTACTTAAGTACATGTTTCTGGTATCAGTACTTTACTACACTACTTATTTTTCTGACTACTTTTTACTTTGACTTCTTACATTTAGAACAAAAATACCTGTACTTTCTACTTCTTACATGTTGAACACAAATACCTGTACTTTCTACTTCTTACATGTTGAACACAAATACCTGTACTTTCTACTTCTTACATGTTGAACACAAATACCTGTACTTTCTACTTCTTACATGTTGAACACAAATACCTGTACTTTCTACTTCTTACATGTTGAACCCAAATACCTGTACTTTCTACTTCTTACATGTTGAACACAAATACCTGTACTTTCTACTTCTTACATGTTGAACACAAATACCTGTACTTTCTACTTCTTACATGTTGAACACAAATACCTGTACTTTCTACTTCTTACATGTTGAACACAAATACCTGTACTTTCTACTTCTTACATGTTGAACACAAATACCTGTACTTTCTACTTCTTACATGTTGAACACAAATACCTGTACTTTCTACTTCTTTCATTTCCCAAACAGGCTGGTTCCTTTAGTCTGAATGTGTGTTTGGTGGCGTGATCATTATTATTTAGAGTCATTGCGTGCCTATTGATTTGAACACGATCCGTGTATCCATCATTTCCTGGTCTTCTCTAAAGAAGAGGGACCAATGAAAACGTTGTCATGTTGCCGTTGTTCAACATGGAAACATTCATTAGCTAACAATGACATTATTGTTCTATTAATATAAAGGGAGGTCAGGTACTCTTTAAAACAGCTGCTAGTTATGGGTACTTTTTACTGAAGTACATTTCAAAGCCCTCTTTACTTTTACTTGAGTAAAGAAGTTTAGTCAGTACTTCTACTTTCACCAGAGTATTTTTAAAC